CACTGTACTCCAGCCTGGGTGACAGAGCAAGACTGTCTCAATAAATAAATAAATAAATAAAAATAAAGTTGATGGAAACAAGAAATCAAATCTAGCCTCAGTTTAGGACAGAGGTTTCAAATGAGTGACCTGCAGGTCAAGTCTGGTCTGCTGATGTGTTTTCTTTGGCCCACACAGTATTCTGAAAAATCAGGACTGCTTACATCAAATCTACATTTCCAGCCTCCCAGAAGGTAACACCGAGTCCACAGTCCTGCATAATAAAAGTTGCGTGGAATTTATCACAATTGTCCCTTTCAAAAAGTCCTCAGATCCTCCTTTCCCTGACTGTGATACATTTCAATCATTTACAGTAGTGCCAGACCTCTATAGGTAGACACAGATCCTCTAGGTAGGGAGGGTACCTGTAGATAATTATCAATTTAAAAAAATGAAAAAAGTTATATAAAAAATAGTGTCTTTTTTATGTATCCAATATATTTTTATTCAAGAACACAACAAATTATAACTACTAGCAAATTGACAGTTTTATATTTTCAGTAGTGCTACACCGAACATTTGTTAAATGCTGTTTTTTTCTGAGAAAGAATGGAAGAAACGTACGAGCTTTCTATGAAATGTACAAAGTTAAAAAAAAAAAAGGCCTCTGCTATGATTTTTGACTTAACATATGCTTTAGCAATCCAACAGAATTCCAGGCACCTAAAAAGTATCAGTTTTTCATCTTTTAAAGTTAAAAAAGTGATTAATTTAATGGTCATTTCTTAGTTAATTCAGGATTTAGGAAAAGTTCTAAATATTAAGAAAATTTTTTTCATTAGATTAGATTTCTGTTTCAGAACGTCTCTAAACCTTTCCAAATGAATGAATTTAATAGAAATTCATTCTGATACATGCATGACTACAATAAACAAAAATGTAACTAGTTACAATTAAATCTTGGAAAAAATACCTTCCTTTCCTCAATGGTATGGTAGAAAGAAAACCTAATGTGAAATCAGAGAAACTTACTTCATCATGGCTCTTGCTATGCAACTGCTATGTAAAGCAATCAATGGCAAGAAGAAAAAAAGAGAGAAGACACTCTCAAGACAGCAAGACCTAATGGAACACACGAACGTTGGTTAAATCTTCATTGGAACAATTCAAATGTTAAAAGGCATTTTTAAGCAACTGGTGAAATTTGAATATGGACTATTAGATAATGCTAAGGAATTATTAGTAGTAACTTTTAAAATATGCTGTGTGTTTCCATTGAAGTTGTAATCTTGCTAGCAGAAATTGTATGCAAAATAGGTATTCAGTAGATATTGTTGATGCTGATTTTGAATTGTAGTATTTCAAATTTAGGCTGAAGGTCAAGAAGCATTGGGAAATAATTTGTACCTTTTCAGAATTACTGAATTTTAGAGGTGGAAATGACAAGAGGAGTTATCTAGTCAAAATAAATTTATCTTAAGCATGAGGAAAAGGACATGTAGCTAGACAGTGGTGGGGCTGGTCTAGAATGTAGGTTTCTGTGCTGAGGCCCAGATGATACCTCCTTCAGTGTAGCTTACACGGAGGCTCTGACAGCTTCAAAACCCTCTGTAGCTCACAACTCAATTCTTTCTCCTTTCTCATTTAACTTTATAATCTTGCTCTTCCTCCCAACTCCATTTTCCATCACCAGGCATTTTAATTTATATTCACTTAACAACTTTCACTTTCCTTGGGAAAGCTGCCAACGGCAATGCTAGCTGAGAAGGAGTAATAATGAGCAAAGGAAAAACAAGGCAAAATTAGAAATGAAGAACAACAACGGCTGTTTAAGCTTTCTCTAGATTTATATACCTACTTCATCCTCCCGGCTTTCATGGAGACATGTTTTTTCTAAGCTCTGTCAACGGACATATAATAGCTTTCTATCAATCATATAGGTCTCAAAGAAAAAAAAAAAAAGGTTTTAAGCCATTGGTACACAAAGAACTAGTGCTGCTGAAATACTTCTCCCTTTCCATTCCTTTTTTCCATCCTTTATCTGCTCTTTTCAACAGCTAGCATGAAGGCCAAAAATCAAAATATTATTTTGATAAGTCTTTTAGTAATAAATTGCTTTTTAAACTATGCACATGTATTACTTTAAAAATGCTATGTTTTAGAAAGCTGAATTATAATTATCCAGTACTCTGTTTAGCACCAAATGGAAAAATTAAAAACTCAGCTTGAATGCTTCTGAATTTATAAAATAAGCCAGGCAACCCTAATACGAGTGTGGACAGATAATATCAGCAGTAAGTTGTACCAATATATCAAATACTTTAAAGAAGGATAAACATATAAATACAAATGAATAGACATATGGGATTTAGTAAGTACAAACTAAGTAGAGAAATGTGTGTTTCTGGGGCCTATTACAAAGGAATTATAGCTATCTTTTACTAAGTTCCTCTATCATGTTATACACTTACACTACACATACATTATCACTAATCCTCACAACAAGCCTAAGGGAGGACTGCCCATATTTTATAAATGAGTAAGAGGTAGGACCAGAATTTTAATATGAAGCTGTCTGACTCCCTGTTCATCTTCTTTCCACTATAACATAAAAATACATATGCAATTTAAGTTTAGGAGGGGAAAAGTTACGCTCTTTGCTCTTATTCTAATAGCAGCTCATTTTCATTTTTTTCTTTTTTTAATAACAGAGATGGGATCTCACTGTGTTACCTAGCTGGTCTCAAACTCCTGGGCTCAAGTGATCCTCCTGCCTCAACCTCCCAAACTGCTGGCATTACAGACATGAGCTACCGCGCCCAGCCAGCAGCTCATTTTAACCATGTTCCATGATCCAGGCTAACATTTAGCTAGTATGCTCTGGTGTGGCATAAGGGCTAAAGGCTGTTCTGATTAATCGGGTATCTGTTCTGTTCGATTTGAGCCCATGCCATACTAATCATTAAATATTTTAAATATTACAACAGTCCACGGCACAGAACTTTCAGAATTTTCAATCAAATACTTATTCAGATACTTGAAATCATCCAAAACCACTTCTTATGACATATTTTCCATACCTATAGGTATCACAGGTCTACCTCTATGCAAAATTCGACTGGTCCTCTCTCTAAGTAATAATATGCCAAGATTCCCAGCTTTTATACTAGAAGCTTAAGCTTTGCCATATTTATACATATCAAAGCATGGGGCACATCTTTAAATCAGCAATACAAAATTACTGTACTCCAGGTTTTTGCCAGCAAGTCCAACCTTGAAATGATATCCTGCTTTTCTTGTCAAGTCAGGCTTGTAGCATTTCACATTTGGGAAGACAGTCTAATATACAGGATACTACCTGCACCTTCTTTAGTTCTTGTTATCATATTACATCACCAGAAAGTAATATATCTCGACATTAGCTTATGTCCTTAGATAAAAATGCCTACACTGTTTCGCACAAAGTTATAATCTTGGATTTTATCAAGATTCAATATAAGAAATGACCATATGGGAAAAAGGAAGCAATGGTATAAATATTTCAAAGACAAATCCAAATGTCATCATAACAAAAGTGTGATTTATTTCTGAGAGCTTACTCTAAATTTATTTATAAGTTAGTTATGTTAAAATCAGTTTGCCCAACCAGCATACATAAAGTGTTGTACAAGCTCCCTCAGCTGGTTAAGATATAGAACTACCAAAACACATGTTCCATTAGGTTAACTGCGTCATCCTCTTCAGAAATTTCTGTAACTGCAGCCTGAGATCGAAGAATAGACATGATGTCATTAGATAATTTGTCAAAGCCATTCTGTGAACATATATTTGCCACTTCTTGCCACCTTTCTGTGGAGCAAAATGAATCATTTATCATAAGACTTTCTACTGCATCTGTGGGGAAAAAAATACAATATTACAGTATGGCACTTATTTGATAATCCATACTTTAGTGATTTTTCAAAAATAGAAAAGGATATAATCTCAACTCAGTTACTGTTAAACTCTACCTGATTCCCCTAAGACTAATGATATAACATGCAGTGCTCAGTCTAGCTCATGGTAAGTATTCATGTTAGTTCCTTCTCCTCCCTTATCATTAACCTCTTGATGTCTCAATTCAACCCTTTACCACTTCTCACATTCCACGTCTCCACTCATTGCCTTCTTGTTATGGTAGCAGATGTTGAAGGCTATAAGGCAGGAGCTCAGAAAGTGATGAATGTGGGCTCATTCTTATTCAAAGAGTCTATAAGGCACCACTAGAAACTATCAAATAACTGTGGACCTATAGGTGAAGTTTTCATGATTTCAAACACTTATATAAATGCCTTAGTGCTGCTAACCCAAGGACTTAAGAAACTCTTTGACAAACTCTTCATCCTGTCTCTAGATGGAGACCTCTTAATGATGGGGCTTCTATAACAAATATTTTTCTTAAGGAAATAAAATCATTTTGTTAAAGAAATTTAATATTATTTACTTTTAAAAATATCTTAGTGATCTATCAGTTTATAGAACTCATTTCTTATCTATTACCTGCATTACTTATGGTACTTCATAAAAGAGGATCACTTTTTAGAACACTGTCATCACTATAATTTTATTTCTACCATAATTATCATTTTTCTACAAAAATATTTTAGTTGATATTTGTAATGATAATTTCAAAATATAGTTATCTTCCAAAATATGTTTTCAAGTAATTTAAAATCAAGTTGTCTGCTCAACTTCCTATACTAAATTAATGAAAAGAAAATAAAAGTGAGTTTTAATTATTCTCTCTCTCTCTCTCTTTTTTTTTTT